TGGAGGGGAGCAGAGTGGTGGTAGAAATGGAGTGAGAAGTTCGGTGTCCCACAGACTGGGAGCCGTCCCTGTGAGCCCCAGGCCCCGTTCATCAAGGGCCCTGGATGTGGCAGCTGCCCCCAAGGCGGTGCACCCAGAAGCAAGGTCATGGCCTCTGTGGGGGTTCAGGCCTGTTTTCTCCTCTGTGAGGTGATGCATGATCGCCGTGCTGCCTGTTGCAGGACTCAGTGAGGCTGCTGGGCTTGTCCCTCCTGCTGATGGCCACGGCCTGCTGTAGCCTGGCAACTGGAAAACTGCCAGGCCAGACAGGAGCCTGGCACTGGGCGCACTCTCCAGCCATCTTCAGAGACAGTCTGGAGAGTAGCTATTTATCCACAGCGTAAGTTTAAAATCTTAAGTGGGTATCACAGGCTCATGATAAAAAACAAAAATTGAGTACCCCTCCTCCTTTATACAGGTGGGGCCTCTCTGCGCACTGTCTACACTGTGGTTTGCTCACCAACCTCAAGGCTGCACCCCATCCGCACACGAAGCCCGTATCCACGGTATAGAACTCCACACATGTGTGTCCCTCAGCCCCTCATGGGGACACATACAGGACCTCCGGGCTTTGGCTTCTGCACACGACACTGCAGTTCATGTGGTGCAGACCACTCTGGGCCTGGCTGGGCCAGGTCAGAGGCACAGCTAGTTCCTATTTACCAAAGAGCTCTCTCAGTGACTGCACCGGCTTACCCTCACCTCCATAACTCTACCGGGGCCTGCTGCTGGCCAGGGAGAGACAGGCACCACATCCACACCAGCACTGGAGGGGCCAAAAGGAGTAGTTTCCCCAGAGGAATCCTCCGTGGTCAGGCACGCCTAGGGGCCGGGCTGGCCCGGGAGAACCCAGGTCCACCCCGGCCCCTCCTCCGGGGTGTGGCCTTGGGCATCAGGTCTCCGGGCTCAGCGCTGTCATCTTTGAAACAAGGGTGGTCATGGGACCCACCCGCGGGACTGGCATGAAGATGAAGTTTGTTGTGAAAGTGCTTACTACGGCAGCGCCGGGCATGTGAAGTGGTGAAGATGGTCTCGGTGAGCCCTGTACCCACCCCAGGTCTGCAGCTCCTAGGGTCGGTGCTGGGGTCTGGATCTGTTGCCCCTCGGAAGGGGTCAGGGAAGGGGAGAGGGTTTGGAACCATCAATGGAAAGGGGGGATGAGTTTAGCCCAGTTTCCCACTGTCCTGGCAGGGACACTGAGGCCCAGGAGGCCTGGACTTGAAGGGACTGTGGGTTCAGCAGCATGAGCTGCCCTTCAGTGCTGCCAGGAAGCAGGGCTGGGTGCAGAGTCTGGGGAGCGGGGGGGCAGAGCTGCAGGACCCCGGCTCTGAGACAGACAGCTTGGGAACACAGAGCCACAGGCTAGCGCCAGGTCCTGGGCAGCCGTCCTTGGACAGGACAGGACTCAGAGCCCCTCGCCGAGCCCAGCCTTCTCCAGGGGCTGAGAGCTTGCTGCCCTCTGCAGCCCCCAGGCCAGTAGGCAGCCTCACCTGGGAGCTCGTTAAGAGTTGCAGAAACCCAGACTCTGCCCTCCACCCAGCTCACGCACAACAGAGGCACTCTAGCTGGGAGGACGGCTCATCTGCCGTGGGGGTCGGGACACATCTGAGCACAGACCTTAACACTGGGTCCTGGCCCCTGACCCTGGCCCCTTCCTGAGGACATGCTCTGTCCCACCCTTAGCTCCCCGGGAGGCAGAGGCAGCACAGGGTCCGGCTCTTGCCCTGTGGGCAGCGCTGGAACCCGCTGCCACTTGTGCTGCCTCCACCAGGCACCAAACACAGCATCTCTGCCAGTCTCACGAACCCGTGTCATCGTGTCGGGGTACGAGCAGGCTTCAGCTGGGGCGCATGAGGCTCAGAGAGGTGAAGTGAGCAGCCCAAGGCCACCCAGCATGGTGTGCAGAGCCGTGTGGCATCAGAGCCCAGGTCTTTACAGGATGGGGACCGAGTTGGGCCAAGTGACAACTCCCAGTGCTCCAGAGCCACCAGCAAGCCCCCACAACTGGCGGATGTGACTCTGACATCTCTGGAGCCCCCGTCTCAGGAGAAGACTGCCCTCTCCCTGTGGTCAGCACAGAGCTGGCCGCAAAGATTCGCCCGCAACTTTCTAGGCTCCCTGGGGTCGGGCTGAGTTCACTGCTAACATGTGAGAGAGTCGCTTCCCCCAGACGCCTAGTGACCGGAAGCTGGGGTGGGCCAGGAGATCTGGTTTAGTTGGAGGGGAGGCCCAAGAGGGCTGGGCCTGGGGAGAAAGAAACACGCTTTCAGCTACGAGCACAGAGAATGGGCAGAAAGTATCCTGTCCATCTTGGGAGAGAAACAGAGTGCTGTTCAGAATAGCTGGACGCTGGACTCAGACAGATGCCCTCCCCTTGGTTGTGCCCCCCAGCACCTCCACGTCTCATGGCTGCGTGGAGGAGAGGAAAGTCAGCCAGGACAAAGCAGCAGCCGAAAACCAAAGGCAAATATTTTCCATCCTGAAGACAGCGGTCCCAGGCTGCCTCCAGATTCGAGCTGGTGGTTTGCTTTCCCCAAATGCCAGTGCTTCTGGTCACCAGGCAACATGTTTAGGGGAGCTGCCCAGAATCCACCTAGTTTTGGGGAGAGCCAGGAATGGGGGGCAGAGGGGGCAGAAGGGCATCCATCCAAGCCTTACCCGGAAATGGAAGCTCCCTTCCCAGCAGAGGGGCAGCAGGGGAGCCCAGAGCACAGGGTGGCCCCAGCTGTTCATCTGGCAGAGTCCCCCCAATCCACAATCCAGCCTTGAAATGGAGATTCCCTCTCATATCAAAATAGGAGCTGCCTGTTTGTTTGGGCGACACAAAGCTGCCAGGCCCTATGTGAAGTTGTGGTTTGTCCTAACACAGCCACACACGTGTGAAGAGCTTGTGACATTCATATCTGGGCTGCACATGAGGTTCTTCCTGAGACCCTCAGTAAGACCTCCATCCCCCGGGGTGGCTGGGTCTGAAGGGGCTTGGGGGAGGAGGAGATGGGGAGGGGGCTAAGTTGGTGGACGGTGTGATTTCTCTCCAGCTCTTCACCACACCAGGCCCCTGCCCTTTTTATCTCCCAAGAAAAATAGTTTTCTGAAATTTCCAAAGGAGCGAACCAGGGCCTCCCTGTCATCCTTGGCCCTAGAATAGAAGGACTCCTCCTATAAGCTGGGGTAGGAGGAGCTAGGAGCCCTCTCCCCACCCCCTTCCCCCACTCCAGGGCTCAGTTTCCCCATCTGTGAAATGAGAGGTTACATCACCTTCCAGATGGCAGCTTGAGGGTCAGCAGTATGATCTACCGAGGCCCTAGGAGGGGACGGACACGCTGTCCTGCTATTATGCCTGCTTCTATGGTCTGAGGGTTACTGAGAATTTTCAAGACCTGGGGAAGGCCCCAGGCTGGTTGAGGGGAGAAGCCCTGTGACAGCCCCCCTTTGCCCTGCCAGGCTGTGTGTGCACCCAGGGGATCCCTGCTCTGTCCTCAAGCCTCCTCCTGTCTGGGCCAGGCTGGGCCTCCCAGATGGCCCAAGGGTGTCAGCAGACCAGCTGTTCTCAATCTGTATTCCACCCCAGCTCCAACCGGCCAGGCTTCTTACCTCTGCAGTAATTTTGGCCAGAGGCTGCTACCCTGGGAGCTGTGCCTGCTTGCTCCCCACTGCTAGTCCTGGGAGAGAAATCTGGCCCCAGCCCCCAAATATGCCCTGTTCTTTGCTGCTACTGGGCCAGCACTCCCGGCGGGAAGGCCCTCTTCCCTCTTCCCAGCAGGCCAAACCTCCAGTCTATCCCCCACCCCTGGCGGCTCTGCAGCGGTTTTCTCTCGGCACCCCGCCTCCCTTCAGGAGGGAGGTGGTCAGGGGGTCGATGCCTGAGCAGTCTGGAAAATGTCAAGTGACTGATCCAGTCGAAGCCCCCAGGGGTTTCTGGGTCCAGCCCTATTCTCAGCCGCCCCCTCCTTTGGGGCGAAGGACAGGCTGGGGTTTGGGTGGGTGGCCTTTTGGAGAGCAGGGTAATGGGAGTGGACGTGAACTTCCTGTGCCTCCGGCCTCTGAGGAAGGGGGGCGGAGGTCTGGGCTGCTAGGTCTGCTGGGGAAGGGACCAGGAGGAGGGGGCAGGCTGGGGGTTGAGCGCGCCCCCTCACCCCCGCGCCCCAGGCCCGGCCTGGCGGTTCGCCTTGAAGTCGCCGGTGTGCAAGGCCGCTGCTGTGTAAATGGTGTGTGTGTTTGGAGCGGCTTAGGGAGGAGGCTGGAGATGGGGGAGGCAGCGCCCCACTTGGCGCCGCCGCTGCCGGAGGGTCCGCGTGTTAGAAGCTCCAGCTTCGTCGATGATTGAAGAAGGGTGGGCGTTGAGGAGAGAAGGACGAAATCCAGAGGGGGTCTCGGCGCCCTGACTTGGCCGCCCCACGTCTGTAGAGGGAGAGCTGAGCGAGCGCGGAGGGAGGCGAGGGGACGAGCGCGCCGGGCTCCCCGCCCCCAGCCCAGCCGGTTCCAATATTTCGCAGAAAGGCACGCGGCTCCTAATCGGTCCTTTCCAGGCTGAGATTTAGCCGCGCGATGCCCGTGCAGGGGCGGGGGCCGCGGGCCGGGGGAGGCGCTCGGAGTCCGGAGGCGCTGAGCGAGGTGAGGAGCCTGCGTCCTCGGCTGCTGGGGGGAGGCGGCCGGGCGCGCAAACCCGAGAGGCTGGGAAGGAAAGGGGGGCAGGTTAAAAATAACCCTCTCCGGCTGGGAAGCTCGCGCGCGCTCTCGCCTCGTTCGGTGCCAGAGGACTCCAGGGGAGGTGGCGTTGGGGAGGGCAGAGCGGGATTCCCCCTCCTCGGCGGGCGGGGTGCCCGCCTGCGCGCCGCGGCTGCACGTGTGCGGGGCCGTGCGCCCGGGCCCCCGCGCCCGGCCGGGACGCCCCCTCCCCGGGACCGGGCGCAGCTGGCGGCGGAGGGAAGCTTCGCTCCATTATTCATTATTTACGAGCGTTAATAGGTTTGAGGCGCGGGCGAGGGCACGGTGGGGACCGAGGCACTTGGGCCCGGGATGCGGAGGGAGGGCCGTGCCGTCGCGAGGAGGGGGTCTTCGCGTAGGCCCTGGTGTTGGGGGCGCTCCTTTGCCTGGCTCCTCTCCGCTCGCATCGAGGCGGCGCAGAGCGCCGAGAGGGGAGTGCGGGCCTTGGATTGCGCCCGTCGGCCACTGTCCTTAGCGTCCTCGCCCTTCCCGGGGCGCTGGGAGGGGGTGCGGGCTGTACGCCCCGCCCTGCGCGCCCCTCGCGGCCGCCGCCGCCGCCGCGTTCCCGACGCAGCCCGGGCCTCATTTATCATCATCTTTGGTCAAGTGGAGTGTGCAAGGAACAGCTGCTTCACTCGGCTGACTTCCGAGGGCGGCTACAGCGGGAATCAGGGAGATGAATGATGGGGGCCGGGGGGGCGCAGCCCCCGGGGTCCCAGCGCGGGCCGGAGGGAGGCGCGCGGCGTCTCCGCCGCCTCCGCCTCGTGGCGAGAAAAGCGCCCCTTCCTCGCTCCCGGCGCCTGCGATCGCGGGACTGCGGCCGGGGGCGCCCCAGGAGGGGCCGGCGCGCGGCTGGCGGAGCCCGAGGTCGCCGCGACCTTGCTGGGGTCAGCGGGTTGGGCGGCGGAGACGGCGGCGCGGCGTCTTTGGTGGCGCTTTCCGGATTGGCGCAGAGGCCGGGAAATCGGGCGGGGGCGGGCGGGGGAACACAAATAGAAGGTGAAATTTTACCTGCCCCTGAGGGAGTCCTGCGGATTTTCTCCGGCAGCGGCAGGCGCTCTGCCTTTGTCTTACACGCCTGAAACATCTGTTGCGGGGGGGGGGCGAGGCCGCAAGCGCCCCCGCACGCCCCCCATCCTCGCCCCATCCCCCGCTCGGCCGGCGCCCGCGCCGCGTTAACCCTGCCGACGCTGGGGCGCTCGCCCGCCGCCCCCAGGGGTGCGTGGGAGCCGGGGGCGGGGGCGGAAGGGTTAACGGCCTGGTCGCAGACCCTAATTGTCAGACCCGGTCCCCGCTTCGTTTCAATTACCCTAAGTAGAGACTGAATGCGCAATTAACGAAGTCAGCTTGCCAACTGGAAAACCGGGCCGCGTTCACGTTGAGAATACTCCACCAGCTGACTCGGACTAAGCAATTTCCTCCTCTCGCTCCCTTTCTCTCTCTCTCTCTCCCCACCCCCTCCCTCTTTTTCTCTCTCCTTAATAATAAAATTATACCAAGCAGTTTGCGGTGTGGCAGGCGGCCAGAAAAGCGTTTCTTTAAACGCCGCCGTCTCACAATTAGGCAGCAAGAGGATTTGACACGCCGCGGAGGCCTGACAGGCGGCTTCCTCCCCTGGGGCTGGGGGAGGGAGGGGCGCCACTTCCCGGCTCCCCCAGGTGGAACCGCGTCGGGAGGGGCTGTCAGGATGCCTCGGAGAGGGGGTGTCAGGCAAGGAAGGGAGGGGGAGGTTCCTGCCCAGGCCGGGGAAAGGAGGGGGCGTTCTCGGACCCCTGGGATGCTGGATGTCCAGAAGAAGAGTCTGGACCTCCACTTCTGGCCTCCAGCTCCAAGTTGGTTTTCTGGTGGCTGGGCATTCTGGAGCACAGATGCGTAGAGGGCTCTCAGCCCTTCGGGACCTCCTTGGACAAGTCACGACCCCTGTCTGGGCTTTCACTAACCCTCTGCAAAACGAGGAGGTGGCTTGACCTGGAAGGCTTCTGGTGGCTCCTGCTCACAGCAGCTGGCCTTGCTGGGGGTGCGGTGGAGGGGGACTCTGGGAGACCCCGCTCCAGCTTTGGCTGTAGATCAGTGGGCCCCACAGAGTGGGCAGAGTGGCCCTTCCCTGGGAGCAGTGAGCAGGCAGCAGCTACAAATGGCGGGTGACTGTGCAGGACTGCTGGGGGGCAGGGGAGGTGGTACCAGTCAGTGGGCATCTGACTCCCCATCTGGGAGGGGTGGTAACTGGGACCACCCACCTGCTCAGTCCTGCCTCTTCTCAGTGGGCCCCCTCCTTAGAGTCGGCCCTGACCACCTCCGTTCCCCACCGCCAGAGCCCCTTGTGGGTGTCACACCCCCACAGTTATCTGTCTGATTGCCTCAATAGGGCAGAAGTCACTGCTTTTTCTTCTGGCTCCTCTTCTGGCACCTAGCTCCGCCCCTGCGCAGCCCGTAAGAGCCGGGCTTGATGAGTGAGTGGGTGTGGCACAGAGGGCTGTGACCCAGGGGCTGTGGAGGGCAGAGCAGAAGCTCTGTCGTCCCTTCCTGGTTGGCTGCTGCACAGGTCCTGGCCTCCAGGCCTGTCATCCTGTTAGGGCTGTGGTGAGGGTTAGATAACATACTCTTGCCCCTCTGTCCAGGCAGTATTTAATAGGCATCTACTGGGACTTCCTGGTGGTCCAGTGGCTAAGACTCTGCACTCTCAATGCAGAGGGCCCTGGTTCAATCCCTGGTCAGGGAGCTAGATCCTGTATGTCACAACTAAAGATGCTGCCTGTCGCAACGAAGACCTGGCGCAGTCAAATAAATAAAATAGTTTTTGAAAAAGGCACCTACTTGGAGCAGTTTCTAGGCTTAGAGCCTAGGACTCAACAGATGAAGCCCCTGCCCTCCTCAGGCTACTTTCCAGCAAGCAGACACAGGTGAAGTGGCTCATTAGACTATTAATTATGTAATTACCACTGTGATGATGCCACCAGGGAGCCCTGCAGGGACCCAGCAATATTGTGGGGCGGGGGGAGACAGCAGGGCCTCCCTCATTGGTGCTGGGGCGGGGCTCCGAGGAGGGTTATGAGCACCTCTGTGGCCTTGGGGCTCCTACCACCCACCTTTGCAGCCCTCAGAGCTCTGGTCCCATGGGGTCCCCACGGCTCAGTGCTGCCCTCCACCCGGCCCCCAGTGCTCCACTCCACAGTTTAAGTGGATAGTGCTGGTCTCAGGGCTTCTCCTAGAGTCCAGGGAGTGTTCTGGGGGCTCCTGTTCCCACCTTTTCACATCAGGCACCCCCCCAGGTGCCCAGCATTGCTCAGGCCAAGTGCTACCTTTGACACCAGGAAGCTTGTGAGCAAATACAGCTTGAAGACCGGTTCTCTTGGATCTCTGGGGTGTTAAACTTTTTTACTTGGTTGATAACATTTTATTAAATTTTATAAAAGTCTAGTTGATTTATAATGTGTTGATTTCTGTTTTACAGCAAAGTGATTCAGTTATACGTATATCTATTTTTCAGATTCTTTTTCATTCTGGTTTATCACAAGATATTGAATACGGTTCCCTGTGTTCTACAGGAGAACCTTTGATTATCTATCCTATATGTGATAGTTTGCATCAGCTAATCCCAAACTCCCCATCCATTCCACCCTTACCTTTTGGCACCCACAAATCTGTTCTCTGTGAGTCTGTTTCTGTTCCATAGATATGTTCATTTTTGTCATATTTTAGATTCCACATATAAGTAATATCATGTTGTATTTATCTTTCTCTTTCTGACTTACTTCACTTAGAATGATAATCTCGAGGTCCATCCATGTTGCTGCAGATGGCATTATTTCATTCTTTTTATGACTGCATAGTATTCCATTGTGTGTATATATATATACACACATACATACATATATATATACATATACATATATATATACACACACACACATACCACACTGTCTTTATCCATTCATCTGCCGATGGACATCTAGGTTGTTTCCATGTCTTGACTGTTGTGAATAGGCTGCTATGACCATAGATAGGGGTGCATGTATCTTTTTTAATTAGAGTTTCCGTCTTTTCCAGATATATGCCCAGGAGTGGGATTGCTGGATTGAATGGTAATTCTGTTTTTAGTTTCTTGAGCAGCCTCCATACAATTCTCCACAGTGGCTGCACCAATTTACATTCCCACCAACAGTGTAGGAGGGTTCCCTTTTCTCCACACCCTCTACGGCATTTGTTATTTGTAGACTTCTTAAATGATGGCCATTCTGACGAGTGTGAGGTGGTATTGTACCTCATTCTCATTTTGATTTGCATTTTTCTGATAATTAGCAATGATGAGCCTCTTTCCATGTGCCTGTCAACCATCTGTAGGTCTTCTTTGGAGAAATGTCTATTTAGCTCTTCTGCCCAGATAACATTTTTTTTAAATGAGAGATTCTTCTCTCTATGAAACACTCAAAGGCTCTGGCACCTTGGGTCCTGCATCCCACAGGCGGCAGTCAGCTGGAGCAGCTTCCCTCCCTCCTCACCTGCGCCCTTCACAGGTGCACTTTCTGCCACCCCCCAGGGAGATCTTTGTCAAATGAGTGAGGAGGTGCAGCCACAAGCCCCTCATCCCCACCCAAGTGTGCTCTGTACCTGTACTCAGCCTTGTTCTGGATATTTTCATACTGTGACACTTTATGTATTTATCTATTTTTAAACAATTAGACATTGGATTTTGTTTTATTAACTGGCAGCATCTGAGATCTTAGTTCCCCTACCAAGTATCGACCCTGTGCTCCCTGCAGTAGAATGGTGGAGTCTTAACCACTGGACCAGCAGGAAAGTCCCATGTGACATTTTTAAACAATATACATTCAACAATTATTATTCAGTCGTGTCCGACTCTTTGTAGCCCCATGGGCTGTAGTCCGCCAGGCTCCTCTGCGCATGGGATTCTTCAGGCAAGGATGCTAGAGTGGGTTGTCATTTCCTTTTCCAGGGGATCTTCCCGACCCAGGGATGGAAACCACATCTCTTGTGTCTCCTGCATTGGCAGGTGGGTTCTTCACCACTAATGCCATTTGCAAAGCCCTTACTTGGGATATGGGTGCAAACAAAACAGGCAAAATCGCTGCTCTCATGAAACTTCCTTTCTAAAGAGGAGAGGCAAAAGTGAAGCCAGCCAGCCGTGTGGCTAGTTACCTTAGAGAAGAGGGGGTGGTATAGGGGAGATGGAGTGTGAGTTTCAAACACAGTGGTGAGGGTCGGCCACCTGAGACGGTCACATGAACAAAGGCTTGCAGCCCAGGAGCCAGAGGAGCCATGGAGATTCTTGAGCATGGTCTTCCCAGCAGAGGAAAGGCCGTGCAAAGGCCCCGAGGCCTGGGGAGATGCTGGACTGGCTGCCAGTTCAGTCCTTTGGTACTTGCTCTTCCTCAGGAGGTCACAGTGGTTGGGGCACACAGAGTGAGGGGACAAGACTGGGGTGAGAGGTGAGGCTCTCTCCTTGCCTTCTTTGGCTCCCCTGAAAGCCAGTGGACAGACAGACTCTTTGGCATCTGTAACATGCAGCCACCTGCAAGATCAGCAGTGCATGGGGCAGCTGGGGAGCCCCCGACACCAGCCTCTGGACCAGCCC